TGATTCTTTAATCTCTTCGGTCGTTTTGCTTGCATCTTTTACCGACTGATATTCTAATAATTTAACTTCACTTTTACTTGTGGTTGCAATACTTGTCCCTAAGTGAGACAACTGACGGGGATGATGCTGGCACAAATGTGCATTTTTCTCTGTCGGGTAATTTATGCCATCTGTCTTTGTGTCGTTGGATGCTAGAATTATCTAGTCGACAGATGCTTGAAGATCTTTCTTCTTGTTTGCCTTGCAAACATCGTTCCATGCATTGTAAACAAACATGGTTTTCCCTCTGTTTTGGTTGGTCATCTACTTTTTGCTTTTTTGCAACTGGCCCTTGGGGTTTCTGAGATGTGAAGCTTCCCCAGTCTAAAGTAAGCTGACGTTTCAAGGATCTTCCTTGTTTTACTTCATTCAAACCAGACTTGTTTACGTCACCTGCACCTGTGCAATCATAATATTTATCGATAAAGCTGTACGAGAGTTAACTTTTGCAAAATACTTTATGCGATAAATACAATATTTTATGCGTTTATATTCTAAGTGAACTTTACGATTTACAATATTTTTTTAGTTGCACTGTCCATTGAGATATGGCAAAATTAATTCTTTAGCTAGATACCTTCATCTTTACAGTTGAAGCAAACAACATGTTGGCCGTAACCTTCTTCACCAACCGGATGTCCACAAATCAAATGCACCGACCTTTTACATTTTGTGCAGCTGTGACCAACCCCTACTTCTTCTTTACACACGTGGCAAAGCGCAACAGTTATTCCAATCTAAAGTGTCAGTTTTGCAGCATGTTCACAAACATTTCAGTATAAACACGAAACAGGCAGAGTACACAGTGAAACATTTAGACGTATTAAGACGTAGTACTTGTAATTTACTCATGAATATTTAATTTATTTATACTATTCATTATTGTTCGATATTACATATGAATGTAAAAAGTTTAAATAAGTGTTTATCACAACGATTAGTCACTGTTTTCTTACCTCATCTGAATCATCTAACATTTTCAAATCGCGTACTTGCCATACTTGACAGATTAGTTTACCTCTGGCGATATTAAAAATAAAATTACGGCGAAGGCAAAAAATGTCGGCGAAAAAAATGGTGAAATTATACCGCTTCAAACCGTAGCACGGCCAATGGCAAAAAAGCTCAGAGTCGGAGACTTTTATTTCTTTTAATAAATTTCTAACAAGCAGAAAATTGCAGAAAACATGGAATTTATTTCAACTTTAAACGAGTTGTCCTGATCTTTAAGATCCTAATAATATAAAATAATACGCCACGCCATTATTACGCCAAGTAAACATTTGTACGCCGTTACGCCAAGTCGTGTTCAACTCCACGCCGGATATCTTCGCACTTTTGTGCACAGAATGCACCCTGGTCCCTGGTCAAGTACACACTTTTCAATTTACAAGGGCACATTCGCCTTTTACAAGGACACAAAGTGTGTACAAGGACACGCTATTTTAATGCCTGACATAAACCAGGCATTAAAATAAGCGTGTTTTTGACACACGTTGTGCCCTTGTAAAAGGAAAATGTGTCCTTGTAAATTGAAAAGTGTGTACTTCGGACAGTGTAATTTGTCTTGGGAATAAAGCCCAGAATGTCCATTACCAGTTATTTCCCAATTCCCACAGCAACATTGTTTAAAGTAATCATGTGTTTATTGCCTGATGATAGCCAGATATATATTTCTGGTTTATATATTTCTGGTTTTTCTGTTTATAACATGTCAAGAAACGCCTGTTGAATTACCAATAGCTTCAATTATTTTCCTTTAGGCGCGGTTTCATGATCAATTGGCAATATCCACAGAAATCACGCTACAAAAATCAGGACTCGCCTTTAAGAATTTTCATCAGACAATTGAAAATTTAATTATGAATCATTTAGACTGCATGATTTACGTACTTGTTAGATAGCCTCAACCATTGGACTAGACGGCCCAAAAGTGCCAAAACGGCGCTTCTGCATGTGACCCCCAAATTATAAAATATTTACTGATACCGCACTGAAATATATATGGATTAGCTCGAGATATTATACACTTAATGTCTGCTCCCGAGCCGAGGGAAATAGTTTGTTTTATATAATACCTTATTGAATTCTGATCGTTTAATTTGCTGTTTATGGTCACGTGATATTGAGAAGAAAATTCCATTTTCCAAGAGTGCAATGGAATACGTTCCATTGAACTCTTTGCGAGTGTAATTGTGCTATACGTTTTATTCCATTGCACTCTTTGCGTTTTCGATAAATCGCATCCGTCAAAATACTTCTCGTACGGTGATCGCGCGCAGTTTATTTTAATTAACCCGATATTCGAAACTCAGTAAATGGGATTTAATGCAAATACGCGTCAAAATGGCGGGAGCTTACAGTAAATAATAATAAATAATATTAGTCTATTTGCAGTAAATAATTTTCGTTTATTTTGGTATTATATAAAACAAATAATGAATGTTTTTATTCGTGCAATGGTAAGAATATTTTCATTCGGTGAAAGATAGAATGTTCCATTCAACTCGGCTGTCGCCTCGTTGAATGGAACATTCCATCTTTCACCTCATGAAAATATTCTTACCATTGCACGAATAAAAACATTCATTATTTGTATATTGTTTTCAATTGAAACATTGAGCCGGATTCGAGGGAAAACAAACTTTCAGCAGCATATTCCGATGCCTGTTGGTGTATTTTTCTTTTCTTTTACATTCTTTATTTGAACAGAAACTTAATTGGAAAATCGTTGTTTCTAATTATGCTAGTTGTGCCGCCATTTAGTATTTATTGAATTTACGTACGTAGCCGATCGGGGCGGGCAACAATTTTTCACCCGTTAGTTAGTGCCCGGCCGCGGCGGGATACATTACATTTATCTGACGTCACGTGACCACAAATCAGCCAATCACGTATGGTGTTCACCCTAGCTATATAACAAAACTAGTTATTTTTCAAGTTACGGTGAAAATTAAAAGCTATTGAATATTTTAACGAGTATTTGTGCTCAAGTTAGTTTGCCACACTCCCAAGTGATCGTTCAACCTCGTACCCAGGGCCTTTGCGCGGTTCAGAGGCTCTGGTACGGGAAGCAAAGGCCCTGGTAAACACTGGTCACGTGTGTCCAAAAATATTGGACATTTTTGTAACCTGGCCTTATTTAGGTCATGTTATCCCGGGGGCACAGAAGAGATAATACCAGAAGTCTTACTCAAGCGGAAACATGTCCCATCTTTTTTATTGCGCATGCGCGAGCTAAACAAGTGTAATGCAATGTTGACAATAGAAAATTATATTGGGAAGTTGTCATTCCTACAGTATAAACAGCTTTTTTTCAAGTAGTACGAAATGTGACTTCGATTTATCTGTGGAACTATTTCAACAGAAGGTAAAGCAGTAATTTTGTTGTATTTAGAAAGCAAACAGGGTCATATTTTAAAGAAAATAGCGCACTAAATATAAATTTGAGCATCATTAAAATGTGTTCGCTATGATGCCATTTTGTCTCGAGTATATACGGAGTACTGCTTTTATACTGGTGGATATTCGAATTTATTTGGCTCAAAAACACCATTACTTCAATATCCCTTTCTTGTTTTTCCTTGGATAGGTTTTAACAAGATAGAACTCTAGATCACTTGGGTCCAAAAACGCTAGATTATAAAATCCTGATGTGACTTGATACTACAAATAGAATATGTCTTGTGATGTATTAATACTACAAATAGAATGACTTTTAAGTACAAACTTCAATGAATTGATAAAGTGTAAGGATAGTGTTTAAAGTTGCTTCATGTGTAGAAGCTGAATTACTTTAGTTTATACACTGTATAAGTGTCGATATCACATGTTGATATGACTTTAATACTAGCAACTTGCAATAAGTGGTCTGTCCTGCTTGTTTATAATACTTTAGAGTTTGGACATTAGAACATTGTAATTGCCTGACAGAGACTGTTAGGGCCTGTTTGTATGGAAGCCGGGCTGGCCCGCTTAGCAAGACAGCCCGGTAAGGTAGATACGCAGGATGATTTCTCTTGTGTTTATTTGAGAAAATTTCATCCCGCTTACCGGCACAATTTTGTTGTTTTGACATTTGTTAAAAATAGCTTGCAGCAGTATCGTTGAACTTTCATCCTGGCAACTGGGCTAGCCTGCTTGTGATTGTTTATATGGAGAAATTTCCATCCTGGTCTCTGCAACAGGGCCTCCCGCTTGTACATAGAAACAATTTTAATTATAATTTTTACTATAAAAATAAGTAGACAGCGAGATCTCACTTACCGGGCTGTCTCACTTAGCGGGCCAGCCAGTTTCGATATAAACAGGCCCTTAAAAGCTGCAAGTTTACTTAAAGCAATATCGTCTATATCACAGAATACAGTTTCTGTACTGACATACTTTGTGTGTTTTCTGTCTTTAAAGTGTCTTATGTTTGTAATATTTTTGTACAATACCTTTTTGAAATTGTTGATACTGGTCTCATTGTAACTCAGTTATTCCTTCTCAAGAAAAATAAAAAAACAAAGCTGTTTGGGTGTGTTTTTGCTCTAGTTTTTACATCTACATGATTCATGTACAATTAATGTACATTTAAATTAGCTTTGTTCAATGAATACAGGTGTGATTCAAATATCATTCCTATCTGGTACTTGGGTCAAATAGACATAAGCATACAAAACCATGCTATGAATTGAAATACAAGTATAGGGTGTGTATTGTTTAAATAAATATATTTTCCAGTTAACCCAGTAAGCTGCATTGTGCCCCAATGCACCCTACTTTACTAGTTTATTTCACTTCATCTAATGCCAGATGATTTTACTTATCGAGGGAGAGTGCTGCTGCTTATTGAGCTCTGATTGAGTTCACTGAGTGGCAGCACTTTCCCCTTGACGAGTGAAATTGTCTGGTGTCAGACAGAGTAAAATAATCTTGCGTTCAATAAAGTAGCTACTTTTTTAAAAGCTCAACCAGGCTAAAGATTCTTTGATTTGAAAACCAAAGTGATAGTGAACTAGTTACTGGTAGTTGAAACAAACAGAATTGTTTGATTTATTTATTTACTTTCCACAACATTGACAATTAAAATTTAATTTGATACTTTTCCAGTATGCATTCTTCATTTACATTATAGAGGTTCAGATTTGACTACCATTACCATTAAGGGACCATCAAATGCATTTGATATATTCGATCAACCATTATAACCAATCAGATGCATACTAAGGCAGTCAGAGATAGTGCTAGTAGAACTCAAATCTTAACCTCTACAATGAAAGTGCAAGTTTATTCATAAACTAATTATACGTATTACTAAATCAACTTTCATGCAATCATCTAGTTATGCACCAGTCAATGTAAACCCTGCCCCCAACCGGGGAGGGGCGGGAGGTTTAGTGGGGAAAGTGGTCCGTTTTGATTATAAATTTGCCCCAATGATGGGAGACTTGGACGGTGGTTAATATATATATATATATCCTGTGTTGTTGGTTTAGTTTTGTTGACAAGAAAAGTTTAAATACAACAACATAAATGAATTTGATTTTCTATTGCTGATCTATGATTATACAAAACTATTTTCCCGCAGTTGAGAGACATGCAGGGGACATTGATGTCCCTGGGGGCGGGACAATTTTGCTCTTTTACTATCCCTCCAAGTCAAAATCCCTGCCCCTCCCCGGTTGGGGGGTTTACATTGACTGGTGCATTAATTAAAGAGGTGTCAGAGCCACATATGTAGTAAAAGCCAACTTGTCAGTAAAGGTCACAGAGCAAGATTGTATTTCAAAGATTGCCAGTGACAAGAACAATTGATAGGCCTGAAATAGAGTATGCCAACAGTTAGTATACTGCAAATAACTATTCTATCAACAAGATAATGACCGATGTGTGTTTTTACAAATGTTTTTATATATCAATCCAATGGCATGTAACCTAAAATTCAGCA